TTTACAGTGTGGGTCAGCAGCTGGGAAGGATCAGGAAATGGTGTTTCAACATAATCATGCTTAAGGCAAAAAATTATGAACGATGTTGGGTTTCTTTTAGCATGTAAAGTAGAATAAGGTGGTGCTTAAATATGTACATTACAGATACCTAACATCTCACAGGCACTGATTTATTTTATGGTAACATTTTCCCCCTTTTTATCAATATATGTTTGCAATATATAATATGTACATTCATTGTTGGGAATTGGTACATATCCATGTCACATCTCAATCCCTTTACTTCCTCTCTCCTTTTCCCTTTTGTCTTTACCCCCTCCTCAATTTTTGAATTGGGAACTAGTAGGCTTTTTCTTTTATGGTCTTAGTAATACCTTTCTTAAAATTTTCCCAAACCCAGGGCCTTTGTACTGAGCCACATTCCCAGATATTTTTAATTGTGGCACAAGCTCTTAAGTGGCAAAGTTGCCCAGGCTTGTGCTCCATTTGTGGACAATGCTAAGGATTGAACCCAGGGGCTCTTTAATACCAGACAGAGTATCCTACCACTGAGCCACATTTCCATGCCCCCCTCTATTTCTTAATATAAACTTCCCAAGATTTCTACTTCTGGCGTGGGTTTGAAAATGATTAGAAAACAAAAAACTTCCATCTCCCTTCCTCATTTTTCAAAATAGGGCTTTGCATGGTTAAGTGGTATAAGGCAGTGAACAAAGGAATTGGGGGAATCTGCCCACCAATCCTAGCCTTTTTATGTGCAAGTTATCTTTCCACAGCCTATTTCTTCATCTGTGAAATGGAATGAGATTACTAATTTTATAGTATTGTTGTGAGAACTCAATTATGTTAAATAATATAAAGTTAAAGGCATCTAAATGGTATCCTTCCCACCATGAACTAAAATATAAGTCCATTTCTCTCTGGTTTCCTCTTCCTCCTCTCATCTGCTTCCATGATGTCACTTAAAGTAAACCAAACAAATCACACAAATAAATTATTTGGGAATTTTTGTGACCATTTCACTTTCGCTAAGGGGGTAATTTTAAAATTCCTGTTTGGGGATCTTGACACTGCTGTTTGCACATACTGCTTTCTTCACACACAGACACACGCACACACTTTTTTTCATTTGGTTTCTGCATGGAAGAAATATATCTCTGTTGAGTACATGAAGGTCTTGTAACATCCTCTCGTCATCTTGCTCATGATCTCCAGCCCTGGCTCTGGTTACTTAGTGACTGCTACTGGAGCTAAGTACTTTTGGGGCAGTTTGTGGTTACTCTGCACTGCCAATTCTAAGGCTAAAATAAGAGTGGACTTTGGTTTAGAGAGTAAAACTAATTTTATACTAAAATGGAGTTCAGCTTTGGCAGCTAACAGAAGCTATTAGTGGACCCACATGTTTTGTAAGATGAAGTAAATTAGGGTAAGCGTAAAACACTTTATCATCTTAATTAAGCAAATCAGTATATTAAAATACGCAGACTAATTTTAGTACGTAGTTATTTGTATTGCAGTGGCTTTCTGCCTTTTGAATCTCATGATACAATGTGAGAGCTTTCTCTCTGATCTTACAGATCACAGGCCTTGATGTTCTTCTCTAATTGTTTGATTGAGACATGCTCTTTACCCTTCATTTTATACATTGGCAATACATTCAGAACTACAGATTTACTGAACAAAGAAGCACCTCTTCAAGATGAGGATAAAGGAGTTTGGGGTGGTGGTTGGATAACTGGAGTCTTTTTAAGTATCTGTAGCTCATCTGTCTTCTGATGGCTCTTTAGGCTTCTAGCAGGCACGTGTCCATTGTTTTTAAGCAAAGCCCAGTATGTGTGTTTGACAAGTTAGCAGCGTGGCAGCTCTGCTTGTTCCCCAGCCTTGCCACTGTCTCAGGGATTGTTTGGTTTGGCAGATGGCCAGCTCTCTGCTATAAGATGCATTTCCTTGACAGGACAAAGTGTGGAGCTGCATTAGCCGCAAAGTTTACAAAGGTTAGCCAAACACACACAATAAATATTAATAAACAAAAAAGGCCCACCCACCTTTGACTTTGAATTCTGTGTTTTGGAATCTTGTAGTATTTGATTAATAACCAGTCTTAGGGTAATTGAGCCTTAAGTATCCTTTGCATGAGTTAGCCTACTCATAGGCCCCTCATTGGCAGCTTTGGTGACTCAGTCATTCCAGAGGTCTGTTTAGTGTAAGGAATCTTACTTGCCTCTCCCTGCTTCAGCATGAAAAGAGGGTAAATGTGCTTCTCCATAAGAGCTTAAGTTGACCAGTCTTGTGTGTGTGTGTGTGTGTATGTGTGTGTGTGCGCGCGTACACTTTGAAGGATAAAGGATATGAATAGGAATAGAGGTACAGTGCCCTTGGTCTCCCTGGAAAGCAATCAGACATTGGTCTCTTGGCCTGAGCAGTTGCCTCTCTCTAACATTTACACCCTGAGCATACAGAGAGAGAGAGAGTAACAGTAACCTGCTGCCCCTGGAAACTGCCTATTTGGCTGGGTGTCTTGGAATTTATCAGGCCTACATTGTGGATCTTTTCCAATTCTGCACCCTGCTCACTTGAAAACATATTTGAGAACCAGTAATCTTAGACTGCTTATCCAGACCTCTGGAGAACTAAGGAAGAGAAATAACTAATGCTATGTCCTTAGGACTGTCCTGGGGCCATTTATATGTGGCTGAAGTTTTTGAAGGCATTTGAAAGCCCCCTCATTGTTTTCTCTTGCTCTCTGGTTCATGCACATCCTTTCTCTTGGGCCACATTAGGAAGGAACGAACCTGGATGCATTTATAGGATACTAGAGTATAATAATGATACGGAGAAATCAAATTATTCCTCATGGAGAGTAATGATTTTAACTTGAAAATTATTTCCAACTCTACCTAGCAAAGCAATTAATTTAGGCATTGGTGAACTGTAGCTTTTAATTCATTCCCTTAGCACACATTTATCAGACACTAGCATGGGCACCTGGAATACCATAAAACATAAATCTGTGGCCATGTAACATATATTCTCGTGGGGTAAGCAGACGACAAGCAGGATAAACAAATTACAAATAACAAAGTACAAATTATGTTAAAAGGTGATACATGTTATAGAGAAAAAGAAAAGGCAGAGTACAGGGACTGGTAGGGCACAATTTTAAATAGTGTAGTCTGAGTAGTGATGATATTTAAGCAAAGACCTAGATGAGTCTTGGGTCAGATGAATTTATTCTAGATAGGGTTACACAAACATGATGTTAGGAAGTTATGTTTATGACTCTTCTCATGTTTCCGTATACCTGGCTGGGACCATCAGGAAATGTCCAGTGGTCTAGGCATGGTTCTCAAATTAGGCTCAGCAGTGGAGCACCTGGAATTCAGGCTGCTGCTTTGCAGGGTGTGAACTATTGATTTACTTAATTCTGTCTTACCAACTAGGAGCAGTTTTGTTAGAAGAAAATTTGGCTTTTACACACATGCATTATAAAGTACGGTAGATTCCATGAACATATGTACAAAGCATCAGCAACAACAACAAAAAGGAGAACCAAATTATTACATTAAGTATAATTTATTGCTTTCAAGTTTTTCTATTAATAGCTACTATTGAATGTTTTATATTTTAGCACTTGCTAGTAGACAATTGGGCAGCAGGCACTGGATGTAAGGAAAGCCCTAAAATTATGAAAATGTGGTGTTGGAGAAAGCACAAACACTGGTTTGATTCTTTCCAAGAACAACTGAGTCCTCTTCAAGGATGCATAGCTTAAGAATCAGTCTTCTAGATATGAATTAGAAGTCATGCAGTCTGTTTTTAGCTTCCTCCTGAGATTCTTCTGGAATCTCAGAAAAGGATTTGCAGCCACTTAACTATATATGTATTTTTTTCCAGTCAGATGAGTCAGAATTTCTATCAAAAGGGATCTCAGAGATTTCCATATATTCTGTCTTAAGAAAAAAGTGGGATGGTTAGAGATAAGAAGCCAAAGAAAATCAGCTCAAGGTGGATTTAGGTCACAGAAGTTCCATGATTCTCATTTTACCATTAGAACTGTAAAATGGCAATATCTACTATACCCTTTTCTCTCTTAATCCTTGTACATAGCTTGACAAGTGACAGGTTATTCAATAAAACTTGAATTAATGTTTCTACTCAGTTCTTTCTCTGTCAGAGTGAGTTCTACAGACCTGGTACATAGTGTTTCTGCCGACCATTATTATCTTCAATTTTTCCCCTTTAATTTTATTCATGCTATCCCTCCCACCTCTGCCCTCTTACCACAGACAAAAATTAAAAACAGGCTGTAGCTCTCATTCAGAACTCCTGGTTCTTTGTGCTTGGTTCTTTGTGGTTCTTTGAGCATTACTTATTTTCCTCACCAGAAATGAATCCAGAGGGTCATAGCTTCTAGTACACCTTCTCTAAAGTAGTTTTTAACTCAGGTTAACATCAAGTTTTTATATTCTGTATTTCTGTTTTACTTCTGCCATTGCCCTGCTGTTTTATCTTACAGATAGGGTGAGATTATTAAGTGCATACCAATGTGTGTTCTTTCTAAAAAGAAAAACTTCATGAGACTTGGATCTTTGTGAACTAAAAACAGTAACCACCTGGCCTCAATCTGCAGTCTAGAGGGTCATATTGTGTGTGTGTGTGTAAAAGCATGAAACACTGAGATCCAAATCTGCTTTGGTGGTAAGCAGAACTGACTTATGTGGATTCAACATTCCGTGATGCCAGCCTCATATGGTAATGGAGCTGGGAACCCAACTTCGTGTTTTCAAGGCTGCCCGGAAAGGAGCATCTTTTTTACATGTATGGTTTCATACATATAAGAAACGATGGATTGGAACTTAACTTCAAGAAAATATCCTAAAAGTTACAAGTTGCTGTCAGGATGATGTTTGATTTAGTAAACTAGCCGACAAATTACTAACATATTTTTGCTCCCATTTTTATTTGGCTTTTTTTTGTTAAATCCCATATCTCCTTTTCAGAGTGTTGTCCGCTGCCTGTGGCATCCAAAGCTGAACCAGATCATGGTTGGAACTGCAAATGGGTTGGCTAAAGTCTACTATGACCCCAACAAGAGTCAGAGGTATTTTATAAGCATTGCTCATTTTAGATGGATGACAACAACTGAGGGGAGGGCTTTGTTTCACCCCTGCTTTTATTTATTTCCCCTTTGATGGGGATCCACCCTTTTAGAAAGTGCAGCTGGCACAAAGTAAAGCCTCAAACTCCCAGTATTGTGCTTTAAAGAGGATTTAGATATCACCCTTGATCCATACTGAATTCAAAGTGAAAGTTTCCTGGGGATTTGCAGTTCTTTAGCTGAAATGTTGAGTGCAAGAGGGGAAAATGTCCTGCTCACTTTGCATACCACCCTGGACAGTGGCATTAGCAATGATGCATGTGAGGGATTAACAAAACAGGGAACTAACAGGAAATGGAAATGCCTTGTCCATTCTGTTACCTTTCGTTTTTAGATTTTAGCAATTACCAATTTGAATGTTTAGCAAGGTTATTCTCTGCCAGCAGAAAGGGAGGACAGAGATACTTCCTCTCAACCCCCATGCCTACCCAGATGTCAAATGTAAGCATACCAATCAATGAGGAGCTGGGTCAGTGCCTCAGTTATTTCCAGTCTCCTTGGCACAAGGGTGGACATGTGTTACCCAAAAAAGGATGGTTTATCTCTCTCTCTTAAGGTACATTAACTGGTTAGCTCTTTCTCTACAGCAAGCCTTGCTTAGCTGGAATTAAAATTCACTTGCTAAATTCACTAGGGTTCCCTATAAACCTATCTTAAGGATTCACATCCTTTCCGAGGAGAGGAAATCCATCATCTATTAGTGAATATTCACGGACCACAATTTTGCTCTAAATAGAAGCAAACATCTCTGTCTTCCTTCAGAACTTGCTGGACAAGGGCTGGAACTTGTTCCCTATAGTAAAATAAAGTTATATCTTACAGAATTTAAGAATAAATAGGATTTTTCTTTGTTTTTAATAAAGATATTAAAAATGCTAATGTAATTATAAGTCAGTTTCCCTTGAGAAAATGATGAGCTTCATTTGATGAGCACCCATTTAGAAAGATGCCATCTTTACTTGGAATTTTTAAGAAATATGCTCATTCATATTTACTTCTTCTAAAAGAAAAAGCTCAGCATTGCTCAGGAGTAGTAAAATGTTCTCAGCACACTTTTGATTAATCCCACACATTCTTGGGCTGTAGCCCCTTGACAGTGCTGCCAAGCTGACTCCATTCCAGACACTTGTACTCTTGTATTTGAGATGTGGACACATGCCACTTGTGGTACAGGCCACCCAGGTTGCTTCCATCTGGGACATAAACGAAAACTTGAACTCTATGACCTTTAGGGTGAAGACGTTAGTTAATTTTATTATTTCTTTAACATCTTGAATTTCTAAGTTATTTTTATAGGTTTTTTTTTAAACCCTATATTCGATGTTCTGCTTTATGGACCTTTCACTTGGTACTGACCACTGACTGACAGACTTGCTTTTCTGTTAGTTTGATAATTGCTAACACTTGGCTTTCTGTTAGTTCAGTAATCCCTTATCACCAAGACCCCATCTGTTGCCATCCCTCAGAAAGTCAAGGATTTGACAAGACACTGTGCAGGGTATACTTCTAAAAGTATCTGATGTTTTCAAGATAAACTTTCTGTTCCTCAGACCAAAGATAGAAAACAATTTGCTTTCATACCCCTAGGGGAGCAAAATTATGTGTGGTTAAAACCCAGCGGAAGGCGAAACAAGCTGAAACTCTGACCCAAGACTACATTATCACCCGTAAGTTGTTAGCATGTTTTTCAGTAATGTGTCTGTCTTTTCTCGTGTGATGTTGTTTCTCATGTGATGTTTTAGAGACAGAAAAACCCTGAGTTGAGGTACATGTTAGAAAATCTCCCATTGTACAGACAAAGAGTTGTGTGATAGCTAACCCCTTTACCCTCTATGATTCATCACAGGATCAGGATTGTCTCATGTAACTTCTAATCCAAATGGGAAGAGCTTATTTGAGCCTAGTGCATTACTCTATATCAGCCTTTTAAAGAGTAACAGTCTGGTCTACAAATAAAAAAGGAAGTGCTGGTCTTTGAATCAAGAGGCCTGGGTTGTCCAGTTGTGCCACAGATTGGCAGTGTGATGTTGAATGACTGAAATTCCTCAAGACAGTGAGCAGTCTAGATGAAGGGTCTCCTCTGGTTCCTTCTGAAATCTGTGACCATGTGCTAGACCCATCTGGAAACATTTATATATAAAATTAACTGCGTGGGGTATGAGAGGAAATCTTAACAGGGTTAGCAGAGTGACTTCTCTCGGACCAGTTATACAACCTCATTAATCTGGCAAATCTTTGTTCCCAGAGCTATAACCTCAGCCCTGTAAGAGGAGACAGCTAGGAAAGGAATCTTGGAGGAGACAGCAATTGTCAGTGCATGGCCCTATGGACTTTATTAATGTCTCAGTCTAAAGCCCAGGGGGCGTTGTACTGCTGGGTTTCTCTCTGGTGATAGGTCCCATATGAGACCAAGTCCCTTGCAATTTAAACTCATCAGTTAAGAGATCCAATGATGCTTTTTGCAAGAGTAGAAGTGTTAAAGTCAGTGTCATAACCAGTCTAGCTCATGTAATTACACGCGCCCTACTTAAATTCCTCTAGTCGTTTGAAGTGAAAAGCTATTTTTCCCCTTCCTAAAAATACTGTGTGTCATGTTGCCTGACAGAGTGACGAGTGGCTACGGGTGGCTGTGTTTCTCAGGTCCCCAACTCAAAGCAGGCATGTTTTACTGTGAGTGATGCGGTCTGGCCCGTCAGCAGTGGGGATAGAGGTTAAGAGTGGACACTGGTAGTTTCTGAGGTGTTAAGAGACATTTCATTCATGTTCTAAATTCCCGTTAAACCTCTGCTGTTCTTCTCCTGGTCCCTAAAAGAAGTTTCCTTTTAAAAAGAGCTTTTAACCTTCATGTAAGGAAACAAATTATTCTGTTACTTTTCTGGTCAAGAAAAAAGATTTTAATACTTTAGTTATTTAATACTTTCCCCAACAATTTTCTCCCTCTTCCCCAAAATGTTACACTGTCTCCCTTTTAAATTCTTATACTTAATATTTTGAAATTTAATTCTAACTTTAAGTAAACCCCAACAACAATTGAACAGCAATATGACTGATTTTTACCCTCTATTTTGTGCACTATATGAAAGGAAGGTTATAGCTCCATGTAGTCCCCCTGCCAGGAGATTCAGACATCCCTGCATTGAAGGCAACCTTTATCCCAGTTTCATGGAATAAGTGCTCCTCCTTTCCGGTTACTCAGTGTTGTCAACTCCTTCTGAGAGGTGGTCACATTTCAGAAATGTGTGAAGTGATTCCAGTGTTTATAAGGCATCTGAGGAGACTTTGGGGCTGACAGGCAAGATGTTGGCATTATTCACATTTGGGTCCTGTAAGAAAAAATACCAGCCAGTCCCATTAAGTATTTCTTTTCAAAACCATAGAAATTAAGTTTTAACTGCCTCAACAGTGTTTCCATGACAGTGTTTGACAGTGTTTCCTGAGTGCTATTAGTTGCCAGGAGAGGTGAACAGTGAGTCTGGTATCAAACAAAATTGGCTAATTGGTTACAGTAAGACTGTCTTTTATTATTAGATGAAGACTGTCATTATGACTTCCATTTCATCTTTCAGTTAGTCATGCTTTTGGTATGTTTTTGGATGAAGGGTTGTTATTATAATAAAATGTTTCAAATATGACCTCTTGCAGCTCATGCCTTGCCTATGTTCCGTGAGCCCCGCCAACGGAGTACGAGGAAACAGCTGGAGAAGGACAGACTGGATCCCCTCAAGTCCCACAAACCTGAACCTCCTGTAGCAGGCCCAGGTGACTGTGATCCAGCTAGCAACCTGCAGAAGGGCAGGGTGGGGGTGATTGGTACAGAGATAGTATGATCTTGTGGGCATAGGTGCTTCCTCATCTTTAGAGAGATTTTTCTAGATAAAGATTTTCACGTTTTCTTTTTAGCACCAGGACATTTTCCTTAAAGATCTGATACAGAATCACAATATATAAAACTGATGAAGATGGAGATGATGTGCTGCAGTAGGCAGGAATCTGGGGCCTTTTCTGCTTGGTTTCTAACTTGAGGCCTAGAGATGACTTCAGTGGAACTCTGGGGCTTCTTGGAACCTAGTGTTGAAACCATTGCCATCAATATTGGCACAGTATATAATATTAGACACTTAGACCAGGGTCCAGGCTGGATTGAGTTTCACACAGGGCAGAAAGTAGCCATGATTTAGTTCTGTGGTGGTAATAAAGGAGCTTCCTGTATTACTAGAAGATGAATAAAGTGTTTAGACATTTAAGAAAGTAGGTGTCACCAGGCATTAAGGCAGCATTACTTTATAGTACGTATAGCACACACTTGCATAGAACTGCGTTTTCTGCTATCATGGGTGTAGTTTCCAGTTGTCTTGGGCTCACAAGGCTGCAGTTTTTGACCTGTTCATTCATCTGAGCTTGAGTTCTGGATCTGCATCTATTTGGCATTTCAGCATTGGAAACATTTCATATGTCTCAATCATTTAAAAACAATTTTTCTGCCACTCACCTAATCAAATCCATAAATAATATTCTTGCCTGAATTATTGCAGACCTTCTAACTAGGCTCGTTATCTTAGGTCACTTCCTCACTTCCATTCATCATACAAAGCTTTTATCATCAGTTCCCTTAGCTTTCATGTTACTACTGTTCTCAAACTTCCATAAGCTTCCTGCTGTGCACTTGTATTTCTAGGGATTCAAGGTTCTGTATAGTTTGACTATAACCTGCCTTTGTAGCTTTACACTTTGCTTCTCTCCTACTCTGATTTTCTGGTATGATTGTTGTTCCCTCCTATCCCCAAACATCCACTGAACTTCCCTCTCTGCTTTTCTTTGTACATAACCCATTCTGCTCATCGAAAAAGCCTTCTGAGATGTCCCAAAATGGATTCATTACTTTCTTTTTTTGTTGTTTTGTTTTGTATTTTGGTACCAGGGATCGAACTCAGGACCTTGAGCTTGTGAGGCAGGCGTGGTGCCACTGAGCTAAATCCCCTTTCCGATTCGTTACTTTCAAATAGTTACTGGGCACACAAATTCTCTAGAAGTTATTTTCTGACTTCATTTCTTCTTATCATGATTTATGAAATTGATCTTTCAGTTTTTTGGCTTCATATATTTATTTTATCTTTCTAAAAAGTCAGACATTTTTTGAGTACTAAGCACCATAGTAGCTGTTACAGTCTAGTACGGAAGAAATCCCTGCCCTTAAAGAGCTTCCCATCTGCTAGAGGAATTACAGTCCTATGAAAGAATGTGAATCAGTGTGTTCAGCTATTTCATTTTCTCTCAATACACAGCAAAGTATCTAAAAGGTGTTTGGAACATGGCACACCCTAGGATATGTTTGTTTAAAATTAAAATAGCATCTAATGAATATTAGTTATTTCTGTTTATTTTCAGTTTTAAATATTCATGCTGGGGGAATTTTTTAAAGGCAAGCTATTTATAATTTTTTATTGGTGTGATTCTGTAATTAAGCAATGAAGACATAGAAATGTAAAAAGGAAGACTTCCTACTTTAAAATGTTATGAGGAAGCTGAAGTCTGGTGACTTCTTACTTTGATTCTGAATATTAGGAAAGCTGAAAGGATGTTACTCAAGGTAGTCTTGAGATTTGTGCTCAGATAACTACAGTGTACACAGGCATAACCGTATTGTCATGCTCATTCTTTTTATGATTTATTTATTTAAATGCTTTTGCAACAGGTCGCGGTGGCAGAGTTGGAACCCACGGGGGCACTCTGTCATCCTACATTGTGAAGAACATCGCTTTGGATAAGACAGACGACAGTAATCCTCGGGAAGCCATTTTGCGTCATGCCAAAGCAGCGGAAGACAACCCATATTGGGTTTCCCCAGCATATTCCAAGTAAGAGAATAACTTTTTAAAACAGATTGGGGGCTGGGGGTATAGCTCAGTGGTAGTGCATGTGCTTAGCATGCACAAGGCCCTGAGTTCTATCCACAATACTGAAAAATAAATAAAAACTGAAATAAAGTAGAAAAGTTGTTATGTTTAGTGAATTGAGAAGAACATAACAATGGTAGTTTGGAGTTCTAACTCCCCATTTTTTATTTCATCATTAAGCATGAAAAATAGGCCAAAAATTCATAGTCTAGAAGCCCAGGTATTTATGTCTTATGACTCTAAAATGGTGAATTTTAAAACTATGCCAGTTTCATCAGAGTGATAGCCTAATGTAAACCATTATGTGAAGCCCATTGTACCTATGACATTAAAAAGAAAATCACTTCATTATCTTAGTTGACAGAAATTAAAAGCAAACAAAGGGAAGCAGCTTGTAGATCTATTAATTAAGGACTGGTTTTTTAGAGAGAACTATATGTGAGTAGCACTGCCTAGTAGATCCAGCCTCTCAGATTCCCTTAGATAGCTTAACATGGGTGAATGTGTAGTGATTCTTAAGGTACTAAAACAACTACATTTATGCTAAAGGAATTTTCAGTTTTTAAAAATTTTGACTTTTTATTAGAAATACTTATAGACTTAAACAAGTTTTTAATTTTTTTTAAAAAAAATACAGGGTTCATTTATATTCTTCACCCAACATTTCCTTATGTTAACCTTATATAACCAGAGTACAAATGATTATGAAGAACATGAGGTTAACATTGGTCTAGAACTACTAACTGAGCTACACACCTTACTTGGTCTTCACCAGGTTTTCCACTCAATTATTTTTTTGTCTCAGGAGCCATGTTGCATTTAGTTGTTATGCCCCCCTCGTTTCCTTCAGTCATAATAGTTTCTTGGTCTTTCTTGTCTTTCGTGACCTTGACTCCTTTTAATGAGTACTGGTTAGTTATTTTCTCTCAGTTTGGGTTTGCTGGTATTTTTCTCATGTTTGGAATGAAACTAAGCATATCTGGCAAAAAATAATACAGGAATCATGTTGAATCTTTCTCAGTGTGTCATATCAAGGGCTTCATGATATTAAAATGTCTTATTCCCGATAAGTTTTTTGGGGGTGATATTTTTAGACTTGCAAATTGTGCTTTTTTTCTCAATCTTTTGCTATCTCATTTTATCCATGGGTGCATTTGCCTATAGCAAACTGCCTATAACATTTGCTTAATGGTGATATTTTGCTTTACCTTTTCTCTGCTATATTTGTTAAGTGGAATTCTACCTAAAGGAAGAGTTGTCCCTTCTCCCACATTTATATTTCAAGTTAAAAAAATTAGTAAGAATTCTAAAATGTTTACTTTATTCTGTGGTTTAAAAATCCTATACTGTCATTATTTAGATTGTTCCAGCTGTGGCCAATAGAAGCTCCTTCAGAATGGCTTCTGTCTTCTTTCAACAGTGTCCCCCACCCCTAGCACTTCCCTACTTTCTAACACCACACTATGTTCCAGGCTGATCTTTGTTTTTCTTGCCCACATCGTGAAATTGATCACTTCTTCAAAGACCCCTGGTTCCTTTTGTCGGAGACTGGTGTTTAGAAACCAAGAGATAGCTGCTAGATGTGCTCAGTGCTACTACAGTGTCATTGTTTCTAGGTCGTCTCTACTGGCAAAGCCAGGAAATGTATGTGTATATGCCAGCCTCCACACATACACACAGCTCTATTTCTGTATGTATCAGTCTGTATTTATATTTTAAAAACCATGACTTTAAACGGGTGCCTCTGATTTCAGTCCTGTGCCACAGGTTCATTTAGCTTTTCCCCTGTTAGTAGTTTTACTGCTTTTTTCAGGTAGTGAGAAACCCAGTTCTTTCCTGTTTGTTCACTTCTGGTGTACATATGAAGTAGTTTCAGATTTGCTAACCTATACCTTTGTAAAAAGCATTTTCCCAACTGTATTGTAGCATTTTGTCTTTAGGCTTGTAGCATCCAGTCAAGATACTATTTTTCAAAGTTATTTAGATTAGATCTTTTTTGTTGTTGTTTTTTTGTTTTGCTTTGGTACCAGGGATCAAACTCAGGTCCTTGGGCTTGCGAGGCAGGCAACGGTAGAGTAAATCTTTTTTCTCTACCCTAGCCATTGTGTTTTTGTTATGAATTTGAAATGCACTTAGATTCGCTTGTTAGTATTTGTATTTCTTCTTTGGTTTACCTTCCCTCTATTTCTTATGCACAAATAAGCAGATACATGAGCATTCTCTTGTATCCTTTCTTTCCAGGATAAAGGGTAATGTAGTACAAATACTCATTTATTTTATTTTGGTCTAAATGCTATTTGAAAATCTATGGTGAAGTATTAATACAACATATGAACACATGTGTAAAATAAAAAGCCATTGTTTATAATATAATACTACCCAAATCCAACTTTATCAGAAAATTATTGCTAGTCTATGATTATCCACAAAAGTAATTCATTGTCTGAATATTTCTTCATTAATATTTTAGTGTGAAATTTAATTTTTAATTAATTTTGGGAGAAATGTTTATAAATATATCAACTATAATTTTGTTATGACATTTTTGAAATTTAAGTTTATCAGCTTAGATTAACTTCTTTTTATTTCTCATCTTTATTGAGGTACAGTATATTTTTATAAATGTATATATTTAAAGTATATGGCTTTATATAAATAGTCTTTTGGGCTTTGCTTTTTTTTTTTTCTCAGTTAGCAATATGCCCTAGAAATCACTCTACATCTCTTTATAGTTCTTATTCTCCATTATATTATATAGCTCAGTTTATTTAACCATTCACTTTCTTTTGTTGTGTATTTGTATGAGTTTGTTTCCAGTATTTTGCAGTCACTAACAATGCTATAGTGAATAAACTTGTACACATATATTTCTGTATTGTTTGAGATTTAATTTTTTTCTTTGATGTTTTTATGTATCGCTAAAGTTTTCTCTTTGAAAATATCAAGTATAAGAAAACCAGGACTCTGGTCACTTTGTAAAGCATTAATGAGCTTGGAAAAATCCCCTGAGTCAACTCAATTTATGGTATTTATATCAGTCCCCTATCTGCTGGCCATTAGAAGCTATTTCATGTAAAAGAGAAGCACATTATTTTAGCCTGGGTTTCTTGGAAACAGCCCTAAGGCAAGGACTCATGTAAAGATGATTTACTAGGAGAAAAACAATAGGAGGTTGGAGAAATGTAATGAAGCAAGCAAGGGTATAGTATCAAGTCAAGTCCCATGGAAGGTCACTGTGGCTCAATCCTGAAGCACAACACTGAAGATCATAGTCAGTGTTCTCCTGGTCAGGGAAGTGGCAGCTAGAGTATCTGTACTTTCTTATCTGTTGGTCTTTGCTAATGGCAGGATATGGGGTTGAGAAAAACATTCCCAGTCACTACTGATCTCGAGAACTTCAAACATAGGTGGCACTGCACAAAAACGCTAAAGGGATTTGAAGGGGTCTGGAGAGAGCACTGTGTCCTCTGCTATGTGTGTTATAGCAGAACAGACTTTACTATGCAATGTCAATGGTGGTTGTTCACATTGTGTATTAAATATAACCAAAAAATACAGATGGAACAACTCTGAACAATGAGTTGGATAATATTACAACAGCTAAGAGGTTCATATTAAGGCTGGCCAGCTAAATGGTGTGGATTTACTCTTCATTTATATAGAATTTGTGTATATAAGCTAATGTATATCAACACATCATTGGCAGACAGATAAGCTTATAGATTATGTCTGTGTCAGCACTTTTGTTTTTAATGGAGTAGTTGTCTTCTATAACTATAAGAAATCTTTTATATTTCAAAAATCCTATTTAGAAATATGTCAAGAATAAGCTGAGTGAAGAAGAGAAAGCAAATTTAGAGCTTAAAATGCGGTAAACATGGTAAATATCATTTTGATGGCTAATTGCTCCAAATATGTGCATGTTTACACACAAAAATCATTAGATGTCTCAAAAAATATTGAAATAATAATCAGTTGATATTAGCAATATATATAGTATATAGAAAGGTGTCAAAGACCTAACTTACCATAAAAAAAATGAAATACTGAGAAGGTAAATTTTTAGAATCTGCTGTTTAACAAGCCATTGCTGCAACCCAGAACAGGAACTAGATCTTAGAATTTCCAGGTTATTTGTTCTAACATCTGATAACACATTACTTTGTATCTTTTTTTGATAACATTATTTTGATAAAGGATCAATTTAGAATGTCATTTTCATATCTGAGTTTTAAGTAATATATTCATACAGAAGGAAAAAAGTCCAGCATAATCAAAAGTGTACAATGGAAATTTGAAAGCTCCCCTTTCATTTAACCCTCAGTTCCTTCATTCTACTACTTAGAGATATCAATAGCTACAGATTCTTATACATCCTCTCAGAGAGAGTCTGTATAAATGCACAGATATGTGTATAACTACATTCATTGTTTAAAAACATGGGTATAGAGTATGTTTTGCAGGTTGGCTTTTGGTTTTGCTTTTTACTTAACACACATCTTATTGGGGTTGATCCATCCATGTATCTAGCTTATTCTTTGGACTTCTTTATATATTTCATTGTATGAATTTATTATACTTTTCTAAAGCAGTCCACTCTTTTGTTTTGTTTTGGTACTGGGGATGGAACTCAGGTCCTTGTGCTTGCACAGCAGGTGGCAAAACCACTGAGCTAAATCTCCGGCCCAAAGCAATACACTCTTGAAGGACAGTTACATTGCTTCAGTCTTCACCTCTCATATACAATACTGAAATTAATGTCTTTGTGCATACATATTTTCCCACATGTGCAAACATTCTAGAAATAGAATTGCCGTCAAGGGATATTTGCATTTTAAATTTGTTTGGATAGTACCAAATTTTCCACCAAAGAGTCTTCTAACCAACTTACTCAATGTCTCATTGCCTCTTTTCCCTTATCCTTGCTAAGAGAGTATGTTAACTTTATCCTTGCCAATCTG